TTAGGGTGGTGAGGCACTGGAATGGGTTGCCCAGGGAAGCTGTGAATGCTCCATCCCTGGTGGTGTTCAAGGCCAGGTTGGACAGCCGGTGCCGTTACCCATCATTAACCCGTGCCGTTACCCATCATTAACCCGGTGCCGTTACCCATCATTAACCCGGTGCCGTTACCCATCATTAACCCGGTGCCGTTACCCATCATTAACCCGGTGCCGTTACCCAGCATTAACCCGGTGCCGTTACCCATCATTAACCCGGTGCCGTTACCCATCATTAACCCGGTGCCGTTACCCATCATTAACCCGGTGCCGTTACCCATCATTAACCCGGTGCCATTACCCATCATTAACCCGGTGCCGTTACCCATCATTAACCCGGTGCCGTTACCCATCATTAACCCGGTGCCATTACCCATCATTAACCCGGTGCCGTTACCCATCATTAACCCGGTGCCGTTACCCATCATTAACCCGGTGCCGTTACCCATCATTAACCGCAGTGCCTTACCCATCATTAACCCGGTGCCGTTACCCATCATTAACCCGGTGCCATTACCCAGCATTAACCCGGTGCCGTTACCCATCATTAACCCGGTGCCGTTACCCATCATTAACCCGGTGCCATTACCCATCATTAACCCGGTGCCGTTACCCATCATTAACCCGGTGCCGTTACCCAGCATTAACCCGGTGCCGTTACCATCATTAACCCGGTGCCGTTACCCATCATTAACCCGGTGCCGTTACCCATCATTAACCCGGTGCCGTTACCCATCATTAACCCGGTGCCGTTACCCATCATTAACCCGGTGCCGTTACCCATCATTAACCCGGTGCCGTTACCCATCATTAACCCGGTGCCGTTACCCATCATTAACCCGGTGCCGTTACCCATCATTAACCCGGTGCCGTTACCCATCATTAACCCAGTGCCATTACCCATCATTAACCCGGTGCCATTACCCATCATTAACCCAGTGCCATTACCCAGCATTAACCCGGTGCCATTACCCATCATTAACCCGGTGCCATTACCCAGCATTAACCCGGTGCCATTACCCATCATTAACCCGGTGCCATTACCCTGCATTAACCCGGTGCCGTTACCCATCATTAACCCGGTGCCGTTACCCATCATTAACCCGGTGCCATTACCCATCATTAACCCGGTGCCGTTACCCATCATTAACCCGGTGCCGTTACCCATCATTAACCCGGTGCCATTACCCATCATTAACCCGGTGCCGTTACCCATCATTAACCCGGTGCCATTACCCATCATTAACCCGGTGCCGTTACCCAGCATTAACCCGGTGCCGTTACCCATCATTAACCCGGTGCCGTTACCCAGCATTAACCCGGTGCCGTTACCCAGCATTAACCCGGTGCCGTTACCCATCATTAACCCGGTGCCATTACCCATCATTAACCCGGTGCCGTTACCCATCATTAACCCGGTGCCGTTACCCATCATTAACCCGGTGCCGTTACCCATCATTAACCCGGTGCCGTTACCCAGCATTAACCCGGTGCCGTTACCCATCATTAACCCGGTGCCGTTACCCATCATTAACCCGGTGCCGTTACCCATATTAACCCGGTGCCGTTACCCATCATTAACCCGGTGCCGTTACCCATCATTAACCCGGTGCCGTTACCCATCATTAACCCGGTGCCGTTACCCATCATTAACCCGGTGCCGTTACCCATCATTAACCCGGTGCCGTTACCCATCATTAACCCGGTGCCGTTACCCATCATTAACCCGGTGCCGTTACCCAGCATTAACCCGGTGCCGTTACCCAGCATTAACCCGGTGCCGTTACCCATCATTAACCCGGTGCCATTACCCATCATTAACCCGGTGCCGTTACCCATCATTAACCCGGTGCCGTTACCCATCATTAACCCGGTGCCGTTACCCAGCATTAACCCGGTGCCGTTACCCATCATTAACCCGGTGCCGTTACCCATCATTAACCCGGTGCCGTTACCCATCATTAACCCGGTGCCGTTACCCATCATTAACCCGGTGCCGTTACCCATCATTAACCCGGTGCCGTTACCCATCATTAACCCGGTGCCGTTACCCATCATTAACCCGGTGCCGTTACCCATCATTAACCCGGTGCCGTTACCCAGCATTAACCCGGTGCCGTTACCCATCATTAACCCGGTGCCGTTACCCATCATTAACCCGGTGCCGTTACCCATCATTAACCCGGTGCCGTTACCCATCATTAACCCGGTGCCGTTACCCATCATTAACCCGGTGCCGTTACCCATCATTAACCCGGTGCCGTTACCCATCATTAACCCGGTGCCGTTACCCATCATTAACCCGGTGCCGTTACCCATCATTAACCCGGTGCCGTTACCCATCATTAACCCGGTGCCGTTACCCATCATTAACCCGGTGCCGTTACCCAGCATTAACCCGGTGCCGTTACCCATCATTAACCCGGTGCCGTTACCCATCATTAACCCGGTGCCGTTACCCATCATTAACCCGGTGCCGTTACCCATCATTAACCCGGTGCCGTTACCCAGCATTAACCCGGTGCCGTTACCCAGCATTAACCCGGTGCCGTTACCCATCATTAACCCGGTGCCGTTACCCATCATTAACCCGGTGCCGTTACCCATCATTAACCCGGTGCCGTTACCCATCATTAACCCGGTGCCGTTACCCATCATTAACCCGGTGCCGTTACCCAGCATTAACCCAGTGCCGTTACCCATCATTAACCCAGTGCCATTACCCATCATTAACCCGGTGCCGTTACCCATCATTAACCCGGTGCCGTTGCCCATCATTAACCCGGTGCCGTTACCCATCATTAACCCGGTGCCGTTACCCAGCATTAACCCATTACTGACCCACTTGATGAACTTGTCCAGGTCTGGGGCTCTTGATCTCCCATATGGGGCTCTACCATTAACACCCAATGGCAAACTGGGCTCATGCCCATTGGATGGCAAGCAAAGAACCCCAATGGTCTTCGGGGTCCCCTGCCTTGTGTATCCACATCCCTGTCTCAACCAGACCGATGCCGGTATCCCTGTCACCACCATGGGTACCCCAGCATCCCCATTGCCCCCATTACCTCTGCTGGGCAGGACCGCAGTGACACCGAAGTGGAGAAGATCAAGAGCACCCTCATCCTATGCTATGGGTACGTGGCCTCCTGCGCCCCAAAGGAGCTGGTGCTGGCCAGGATGGAAGCGGACATCCTCAAGAACATCTTCCAGTACTTCAATACCAAGGTGAGCTGATGGACATCCTAACCCCAACCCTAACCCCAACCCTAACCCTAACCCTAAACCCCTTCCCAGAGCCCCAGCACAGGGATGTTCCCATTCCAGTCCTAACGTGTCCCCTTCTCTCCACTGATTCAGGTTCTGGGAATAAAGGTAGAGACCAAGGTACAGTGTGAGGCACTGAACGAGCTCCTCTGCTCTGTCCTCCTCTTGCTCTGCTTTTCCCCATGCTCTGCTCCCAGTAGCTCTTTGCCTCTTGGGACTGGGGGAGCTGCTGCTCCCCCATCCTTTGTGTGTGTATGGGACCAGTGCCCAATTGGACTCAGGGGAGATGGGAGGAGAGCGAGGCCCTTTAGAGACTGGGACAGCAGCGTGGAATGGGGGCTATGGAGGGGACCTGGGAGCTTAAAGCTCCAATCCTATGGGTATGGACCCCTTCCACTGGAGCAGGGATGCTCCAACCCCTGTGGCCTTGAGCAGTGCCAGGGATGGGGCAGCCACAGCTTCTCTGCCTAAGAGCTCAGCTCAGTCCCCCTAGGGCAGGTTCAAGCCATTCCCCTATTTCTGCCCCTACATCCCTTGTCCCAATCCCTTTAGGCACTGGGGCTGCTCTAAGCTCTCCCATTCAGGAGCCTGGCTCCAGAGCAGAGTTGCTCCAGCCCTTGGAGCATCCCCATGGCCTCCTCTGGACCCACTGGTCCCTCTGGTGCTGGGGTCACCAGAGCAGAGCAGCATCACCTCTGCTCCCACATGAATGCTTCTCTTTCCAAAGGCTAAAAGGCAATTTGCCATAAGCCAGGCTGGCCTCCACTAATGCCTTTTCCTTCTGGGCTTACTGGTACTAACTGGTACTAACACCTTCTGCATCTCCAGTACTGAGCTGGGACCCCCTCTTTGAGACCCCCTTCCCTGCTCCCTGCAAGTGGCAGGGATGAGGGGAGCACCTTGCATTGGGATGTCACCCCATGTCACCAGTCCTGCACCCCAAACCGTGCAGGAGGAATGGATCCAGGCATCCTATGGAGCTGCCCTGAGCATCTGTATCCTCAGGGGATGCTTTGGTGGGGAGGGAGCCCTGCAGCAGTATCCCCATCCCATGTGATGCTGGGGGTGTCCCTGTGCCACCAGATACAGGGGTCCTGGTGCTCCCCATCCACCAGAGCACGGCCTGAGCTCTGGTTTCCATGCAGGGACCCCCATTTGGGGTGGGCTGTGGTAGGGTCCTCACCCTGTGTTGTGCTCTCAGGACCTGACCCTGAAGCTCTGCCTCATCCGGAGCATCTGCATGATCAGCCAAGCCATCTGCAAAGGGGGCAAGTGTGGGGACTTCAGCTTCTCCCGCAAGGCCGAGCTCGTGGCCCAGATGGTGGTAAGGGGAGCATTGGGGGTACCCAAGCCACGTCATTGGGGGTCACACAGGGATGGAGCTGTGCTCATTGGGGGAGACTTGAGGAGCCCCATCCCATGTGTGTGCTGCGCTCTGCCCTTTGAGCATCATTCGATGCGAGCGATGCTGCTGCATCCATCCCTGCATCCATCCATCACCATGGATGCGCATCCCATGGTATGGGATAGGGGTGGATGTGGTCCTCACCATCCCCTTGTGCTACCCTACAGGAGTTCATGAAGGCAGAGCCCCAGGACACGCTGCGGACGCCGCTTCGCCAACGGGCCATGGTCACCTGCACGTACCTGGTGTATCCTTCCAATGGGAATGATGGAGCCTCATCCCTGCCTGCATCACCCCATGGGTCTGATGGGGATGTCCTGTGTGGGGTGCATCAACAGAGCAGTGCCAAGCGGGCTGGACCGGGTTGGAACGCTGCCCCTTGTTCCCTGCATCCCATAGGTGAAGGTAACCCCATAGCGCTCCCATAGTACCCCCATTGTGTTCGGTGATCCATGGTGCTTCCTTAACGTGGGATCAGCATCCTGGAGCCCCACTTGAGTGACCCAGACCGGACTGAGCTCATTGACACGTGCCTGGCTGGAGTGCTGGCGCTTCCACCACTGGAGATGGCCAAGGACAGGGAAGAGAATGGAGCTGATGCCATTCCTAAGGAGGTGGGAATACAGGGGGATGCTGGACCAAGGAGCAGGGATACCCATGGCAGGCAGGGGGATGCTGTACCAAGGAGCAGGGATACCCATGGCAGGCAGGGGGATGCTGTACCAAGGAGCAGGGATACCCATGGCAGGCAGGGGGATGCTGTACCAAGGAGCAGGAATACCCATGGCAACAGGGGGATGCTGTACCAAGGAGCAGGGATACCCATGGCAGGCAGGGGGATGCTGTACCAAGGAGCAGGGATACCCATGGCAGGCAGGGGGATGCTGTACCAAGGAGCAGGGATACCTGGAGCAGGCAGGGGGATGCTTAGGAATACCCATGGCAGGCAGGGGGATGCAGTACCAAGGAGCAGGGATACCCATGGCAGGCAGGGGGATGCTGGACCAAGGAGCAGGGATACCCATGGCAGGCAGGGGGATGCTGTACCAAGGAGCAGGGATACCCATGGCAGGCAGGGGGATGCTGTACCAAGGAGCAGGGATACCCATGGCAGGCAGGGGGATGCTGTACCAAGGAGCAGGGATACCTGGAGCAGGCAGGGGGATGCTGTACCAAGGAGCAGGGATACCTGGAGCAGGCAGGGGGATGCTGGACCAAGGAGCAGGGATACCCATGGCAGGCAGGGGGATGCTGGACCAAGGAGCAGGGATACCTGGAGCAGGCAGGGGGATGCTGTACCAAGGAGCAGGGATACCCATGGCAGGCAGGGGGATGCTGTACCAAGGAGCAGGGATACCCATGGCAGGCAGGGGGATGCTGTACCAAGGAGCAGGGATACCTGGAGCAGGCAGGGGGATGCTGTACCAAGGAGCAGGGATACCTGGAGCAGGCAGGGGGATGCTGTACCAAGGAGCAGGGATACCCATGGCAGGCAGGGGGATGCTGTACCAAGGAGCAGGGATACCTGGAGCAGGCAGGGGGATGCTGTACCAAGGAGCAGGGATACCTGGAGCAGGCAGGGGGATGCTGTACCAAGGAGCAGGGATACCCATGGCAGGCAGGGGGATGCTGTACCAAGGAGCAGGGATACCTGGAGCAGGCAGGGGGATGCTGTACCAAGGAGCAGGGATACCCATGGCAGGCAGGGGGATGCTGGACCAAGGAGCAGGGATACCTGGAGCAGGCAGGGGGATGCTGTACCAAGGAGCAGGGATACCTGGAGCAGGCAGGGGGATGCTGGACCAAGGAGCAGGGATACCCATGGCAGGCAGGGGGATGCTGTACCAAGGAGCAGGGATACCCATGGCAGGCAGGGGGATGCTGTACCAAGGAGCAGGGATACCCATGGCAGGCAGGGGGATGCTGTACCAAGGAGCAGGGATACCTGGAGCAGGCATGGATCCTAAAGGGATCCATGAGCATCTTCCAGGGCCCATTCCAACTGGGCTCACTGGGATTTAACCCCAGTTTTGGGGGGGGGAAAGGACCGGATTCCCTTTGGAAAGCCTGCCCTGAAGCATCCATGCTCAGCCCTGGTGCACACTGGCACTTGGCACCAGTCACAGCCCACACTGTGCCCATTCCCACCCCATTCCCATTGCTTCCAGGTGATTTACACCCTGCCTTTACCCCCTGCTAAGCTGGGGGTGCCTGCACCTTGGCACAGGATGGGATGCATTGAGAGCATCCACCGATGGCTTTGGGATGCGGCGCTGCCCTCGGGTACCATCTGAGCCATCTCTCCTCCATAGGCGCTGTATGGTGACACCATGAGTGCCCTCAAAGAGCTGCTGAAGAGCCTCCTGCAGAGGAACCTCACCCCCCATGGGCTCCAGGACATGTTTGCGGTGGGTGCAGCCCTGCTCTGGTGCCTTCTGCAGGGGGCAGTGGGGAGGATGAGGGGTCCCAATGGAGCTGGCATCAGATGCGGGCTCTGGTGGGACCCTCAGCATCCTCCTGCATGGAGCCTGCTTGGGGCAAGGTCTTTATGGACCCTGTTGCCAGGGTGGGCAGCTCTGGGGGTCTCTTAGGAGGGGTCCTGCACATGGGGCCTCATTGAGATGCAGAGACCCAGGGGTGGATTGAGCACTGTTGGGTCATGGGGATGGTTCCTGCAGCCTGAGGAGCCCCCAGAGGCAAAGCAGGGGAGCTGCTCCTCTCCTCCCTGATAGAACAGACCCATGGAATGGTTTGGGTTGGGAAGGAGCTGAAGCTCACCCAGTTCCATGGGCAGGGACACCTCACACTAACCCATGGTACCCAAGGCCTCATCCAAGCTGGCCTTGGGATGGAGCATTCCCAACCTCCCTGGGCACCCATCCCAGTGCCTCAGCATCCTCCCAGGGAAGAATTCCCTCCTTAGATCCAATCTAAACCTCCCCTGTTCCAGTTTGACCCCATTACCCCTTGTCCCATCACTGCAGTCCCTAATGGAGAGCCCATCCCCAGCATCCCTATAGCCCCCTGCAGACACCGGAAGGATGCTCTGAGGTCTCCATGCATCCCAAGCCGAGCAGCCCCAGGTCTCCCATCCTCTCTCCATCCACCCCATGCTCTCCCCTGCAGCATTTAGGCCCCTGGATCAAGTCAAGCAAGGACCACGAGCGGCAGCGGGCAGTGGAGATCAGCGCTGCCTTGCTTGACTTCTACCTGAGCGCACTCAATGTCAGCGTGAGTGAAACTGGGGGGGCTCATCCTGCACCCCCATCCCAATGCTGTGCCCCTCTACCCCTGCTTATGGACCCCCCCTTTTTATCCCCCCCCCCCAGACCGTGACCCCCTTCTACAACCTCAGCATCCTCATCGCCCTCTTCTCGCCGCGCTGCTCGGATGCGGTACCCAGCGTCCGCCTCCATGCTGTGGACTGCGTCTACTCCTTGCTCTACATCCAGCTCTGCTATGAGGGTGAGTGCAGGATGCAGGGGGGGAGCTGCTGCCCTGCTCTCTGCATCCCATCCCTCCATGTGTGGGGTGACAGAACCATGGGATGGGGTGGGATGAAGGGAGCTTAAAGCTCCCCCAGCTCCATCCGTTTCCATTGGAGCAGGATGCTCCAAGCCCCTGTGGCCAACCTGCCAGGGATGGAGCATCCCAAACTCCTCCCTTCAGCACCCTCATGGGGAAGAACCCCCCAAGATCCCATCAACTCTTCCCTCTTCCTCCTCATCCCATCCCTGCATCCCTCATCCCATTCCTGCATCCCTCATCCCATTCCTGCATCCCTCATCCCATTCCTGCATCCCTCATCCCATCCCTGCATCCCTCATCCCATCCCTGCATCCCTCATCCCATTCCTGCATCCCTCATCCCATTCCTGCATCCCTCATCCCATCCCTGCATCCCTCATCCCATCCCTGCATCCCTCATCCCAAGGCTCCCTGCAGCCCCTTCAGGATGCTCCAAGCCCCTGCCAGGGATGGAGCATCCCAAATTTCTCCATTCAACCCCTTCAGCGCCATCATAGGGAAGAACTCCTGCCCTAGAGCTCATCTCAGCCTCCCCTTGGTCCGGTTCAAGCCATTCCCATTGCCCTACCCCTGCATCCCTTGTCCCAAGCCCCTCTCCACGTTCCCCGGAGCCCATTGATGTGACCCCGGTTTGAGCCTGGCGTTCCTCCTGTCTCCACGAGGGGTCAGTGCTCCCCTTCGGATGGAGGCACTGGGACCAGCATCACACCAATGGGAATCATGGAACCACCTCGGATCCTCTGCTCCTGCTCCCCAGAGCATCACAAGCCCTTGTAGCCCTTGAGTTTCTTGCTCCTTCCCATAAACTGGTCCAGCTCCGGGGGCAATGGGAGCCCTGCAGCACTGGGATGCTCCTGGGATGCTGCTGGGATGCAGGATGTGCGGAATGCTGCTCCATGATTGCTTCCACACGGATGCAGGTTTCGCCCGGGACCATAGGGATGAGATGGTCGAGGGGCTGAAGGCTCTGAAGCAAGGCCTGCAGGAGCCCGACTTCACCGTCCTCTTCCACACCTGCAGCAACATGGCCATGGTAAGTGCAGTGTGAGCCCAGTGGGGATGCTCAGAGCATCTCAGCCCCATGGGGAAGCTGCTGGTGCCTTCTTTGGGGTCAGTGCCCCACAGCGTGGTCCATGCTTGGCTGGGCTGGGGTTCAACGGGTCCCTTCCCAGGTCTGATGCACAACTTGAGCTCCAGGTTATCCAGTGGTGCTCATGGCACCATGAGCATGGTGCTGATGGCATCTTGTGCATCAGTGTGGTGCTGATGGCATCTTGTGCATCAGTGTGGTGCTGATGGCATCTTGTGCATCAGTGTGGTGCTGATGGCATCTGGTGCATCAGTGTGGTGCTGATGGCACCATCAGTGTGGTGCTGATGGCATCTTGTGCATCAGCGTGGTGCTGATGGCATCTTGTGCATCAGTGTGGTGCTGATGGCACCATCAGTGTGGTGCTGATGGCATCTTGTGCATCAGTGTGGTGCTGATGGCATCTTGTGCATCAGTGTGGTGCTGATGGCACCATCAGTGTGGTGCTGATGGCATCTTGTGCATCAGTGTGGTGCTGATGGCATCTTGTGCATCAGTGTGGTGCTGATGGCATCTTGTGCATCAGTGTGGTGCTGATGGCATCTTGTGCATCAGTGTGGTGCTGATGGCATCTTGTGCATCAGTGTGGTGCTGATGGCACCATCAGTGTGGTGCTGATGGCATCTTGTGCATCAGTGTGGTGCTGATGGCATCTGGTGCATCAGTGTGGTGCTGATGGCACCATCAGTGTGGTGCTGATGGCATCTTGTGCATCAGTGTGGTGCTGGTGGCATCTGGTGCATCAGTGTGGTGCTGATGGCATCTTGTGCATCAGTGTGGTGCTGATGGCATCTTGTGCATCAGTGTGGTGCTGATGGCATCTTGTGCATCAGTGTGGTGCTGATGGCATCTTGTGCATCAGTGTGGTGCTGATGGCATCTTGTGCATCAGTGTGGTGCTGATGGCATCTTGTGCATCAGTGTGGTGCTGATGGCATCTTGTGCATCAGTGTGGTGCTGATGGCATCTTGTGCATCAGTGTGGTGCTGATGGCACCATCAGTGTGGTGCTGATGGCATCTTGTGCATCAGTGTGGTGCTGATGGCATCTTGTGCATCAGTGTGGTGCTGATGGCATCTTGTGCATCAGTGTGGTGCTGATGGCATCTTGTGCATCAGTGTGGTGCTGATGGCACCATCAGTGTGGTGCTGATGGCATCTTGTGCATCAGTGTGGTGCTGATGGCATCTTGTGCATCAGTGTGGTGCTGATGGCACCATCAGTGTGGTGCTGATGGCATCTTGTGCATCAGTGTGGTGCTGATGGCACCATCAGTGTGGTGCTGATGGCATCTTGTGCATCAGCGTGGTGCTGATGGCACCATCAGCGTGGTGCTGATGGCATCTTGTGCATCAGCGTGGTGCTGATGGCATCTTGTGCATCAGTGTGGTGCTGATGGCACCATCAGCGTGGTGCTGATGGCATCTTGTGCATCAGCGTGGTGCTGATGGCATCTTGTGCATCAGTGTGGTGCTGATGGCACCATCAGTGTGGTGCTGATGGCATCTTGTGCATCAGTGTGGTGCTGATGGCATCTTGTGCATCAGTGTGGTGCTGATGGCATCTTGTGCATCAGTGTGGTGCTGATGGCACCATCAGTGTGGTGCTGATGGCATCTTGTGCATCAGTGTGATGCCGATGGCATCTGGTGCATCAGTGTGGTGCTGATGGCATCTTGTGCATCAGTGTGGTGCTGATGGCACCATCAGTGTGATGCCAATGGCATCTTGTGCATCCCCCTTGCCCTGGGTACCCCATAGCTTCCCCCAGGCTCTGACTGTGACCCCACCAGAGCATCCCCCCCATTGCTGATGCCCCTGCGTGGTCCTCACCTCCCGCAGGTGCTGGGGAAGCGCCTCCCTCCCGAGCAGCTCCTGAGCCTCCTGCTCGCCCTCTTGGAGGGGCTGGCGGATCCCGACCGGAACTGCTCCCGGGCAGCCACCGTCATCATCAACTCCCTGCTCAAGGAGCGAGGGGCAGTGCTGCAGGAGAAGGTAAGGGGGGGGGCACCTCCAACCATGCCTCCCATGGGGCTGTAGCCCCATAGATCCCATTGCCAGCTCCAGGGATCGTAACTGGGATGCTCTGTTATGGACTGGGATGCTCCAGAACGATCAAGGCTTTGGTGGGAGTGGGATGCTCAGCATAGGGAATGGTCCATCCCTGATGGATGTTTAACCCCTGTATCAGCCATGGATGCTGCAGGGCAGGGGAACCCCAAAGCCAGGTTGGACACAGGGCTTGGAGCACCTTGCCCTATTGGAAGCTTTAAGCTCCCTTCATCCCAACCCATTCCATGGCCCCATGGTTCTGGGGGTGCTGTCCCTTCTCCTGTCCCCCATTGAGGAGCTGCTGCCCCGCTCTGCTCTCAGGGTGAGGGGCTCACCCCAGGAGGGATGGGGCTCCATGGAACCTTCCCAAGCTCCATCCTCCCAAGGGCTCCAGGCCTCAGAACCGGGTCTGGAACCTGCAGGAGGAGGCTTCTGTGTCCAATCCCATCCTTTAGGCCGAGCTCCCCTTCCCCTGCAGTGATGGGGTTCACAGGGTGCTCCCTGGGCCTGCTCGGGTACCAGAGCTCCATCCTTGCTCCCTCTTCCCATCTCCCCCAATGGGATCGCTCCCAGTTCAATGACTCCCTTAGGGTCTGACCCAGTGCAGGACCTGGAACCTGAGCCTGGGAGCCTTGGGGTTTGCTATGGGCTGGGCTCTGCTCCTCACCTTCCTCTGCAGCATCTCCCTGCATCCAGCATCCTGCATAGGATGGACAGGAGCATCCCTGCGATGGGACCATCATGGCCCTGCTGATGCTCTGCCTATGCACTACATTGTCTTCTCAAGTCCCATTGCCCCCATTGGCTGGCTGAAGGGATGGGACACTGGGGTCCTGGCTGCAGGGACAGTGACACCGAGGGTGCAGCATCTCATAGAGTCAGACATGGGACCAGCCAAGGGGGAAACACCCCTAAGCTCACCCAGTCCAACCATTACCAGCACTGCCCCATGTGCCCATCCTATAGACACCCCCATGCAAACCCACTGCCCCATGTGCCCATCCTATAGACACCCCCAGGGTCACTGCCCCATGTGCCCATCCTATAGACACCCCAGGGTAACCCCACTGCCCCATGTGCCCATCCTATAGACACCCCCAGGGTAACCCCACTGCCCCATGTGCCCATCCTATAGACACCCCCAGGGTAACCCCACTGCCCCATGTGCCCATCCTATAGACACCCCCAGGGTCCCCATGCCTGCAGCCCTGCCCTGTTCCAATGCCTGAGCACCCTCTGGGGCAGGAATTGCTCCTCAGCTCCATCCAACCCTGCCCTGGTGCAGCTTGAGCCCGGTTCCTCTTGTCCCATCCCTTGGCTCCATCCTGGCTCCATCCTCCTTGGAGGCACCCATCAGGTCCTGCTCTCCTCCTCCCCATGTCCTGCATCCCTTCCCCATCACCCCTGTGCTCCATCCCCATTCCCTTCTCTGGCCCCACTCCATCCCCTCAGTGTTGCAATGAGGGCCCCACAGCACACCCCATTGCTCACCCTGGTCCCTGCACCCCATCTTCCACCAGGTCCCCGACATCCTGAGCATCATCCACAGCAAGCTGGAGGAGGTGGATGAGGAGCACATCCGCAAGGCTGCCCAGCAGACCGTCTACATCCTGGCCTCCCAGCACAAGAGCCTGGTGGTGTCCAGCCTGCTGGGGAGCCCCCTGCCCTTCGACAGGTCCTGCCCTGCCCCTCAAGGATGGGATCTTGGGGGGTTCTTCCCTATGAGGGTGATGAAGGGGGTGAAGGGAGGAGTTTGGGATGCTCCATCCCTGGTGGTTGGATACAGGGGCTTGGAGCATCCTCAAGGGGCTGCAGGGGGGCTTGGGATGAGGGATGCAGGGATGGGATGAGGGATGCAGGGATGGGATGAGGGATGCAGGGATGGGATGAGGGATGCAGGGATGGGATGAGGGATGCAGGGATGGGATGAGGGATGCAGGGATGGGATGAGGGATGCAGGGATGGGATGAGGGATGCAGGGATGGGATGAGGGATGCAGGGATGGGATGAGGAGGAAGAGGGAAGAGTTGATGGGATCTTGGGGGGTTCTTCCCCATGAGGGTGCTGAATGGAGGAGTTTGGGTTGCTCCATCCCTGCCAGGTTGGACACAGGGGCTCGGAGCCCCCTGCTCCAATGGGAACGGATGGAGCTGGGGGATGCTTTAAGCTCCCTTCATCCCAAACCCATCAATCCCTGTCCTGTGTGATGCAGTGATGCGCTCCTCACCCCTGTTCCAGTGTGATGGGTACTGGGACCACAGGGATGGATGCGGTGCTTGCCTGCATCCCACCTGGTACCAAAGCCTCCTCCATTCCCTTCTATGGTCCCCTGCAGGCACACGTGCACCATGTGGAGGTCCCTGGCCACCGAGCCCACCCTCACCTCCCAGATCCTGGAGCAGCTCCTGGATAAGGTGAACAGGGATGTGCCCTATAAGGAGAGCAAATGCTTCCTGCTGGGGAGCGCCTCGGAGCGCATCGCCACCCCTCTGCCCCTGGCTGTGAGTATCCCCTATGGAGGCACCCCCATCCCAGCCCTCCCCATTGGATCCATCCCCTCCATCCCATCCCTACACATTGAATCCATCCCCATCCCATCCCATCCCATCCCTCCCCATTGAATCCATCCCCCCCATCCCATCCCTCCCCATTGAATCCATCCCCCCCCATCCCATCCCTCCCCATTGGATCCATCCCCCCCATCCCATCCCTCCCCATTGGATCCATCCCCCCCATCCCATCCCTCCCCATTGAATCCATCCCCCCCATCCCATCCCTCCCCATTGAATCCATCCCCCCCATCCCATCCCTCCCCATTGGATCCATCCCCCCCATCCCATCCCTCCCCATTGGATCCATCCCCTCCCATCCCATCCCTCCCCCTTGAATCCATCCCCCCCATCCATCCCTCCCCATTGGATCCATCCCCCCCATCCCATCCCTCCCCATTGGATCCATCCCCCATCCATCCCTCCCCATTGAATCCATCCCCCCATCCCATCCCTCCCCATTGAATCCATCCCCATCCTATCCCTCCCCATTGGATCCATCCCCCATCCCAGCCCTCCCCATTGGATCCATCCCCCCCATCCCATCCCTCCCCATTGGATCCATCCCCCCCATCCCATCCCTCCCCATTGGATCCATCCCCCCTTCCCTGCCCCACTCCTGCCCCGCTCCTGCCCCACTCCTGCCCCACTCCTGCCCCACTCCTGCCCCTCTCCTGCCCCACTCCTACCCCGCTCCTGCCCCACTCCTGCCCCTCTCCTGCCCCACTCCTACCCCGCTCCTGCCCCACTCCCGCCCCGCTCCTGCCCCACTCCTGCCCCACTCCTGCCCCATCCCTACCCCTCTCCTGCCCCACTCCTACCCCACTCCTGCCCCACTCCTGCCCCTCTCCTGCCCCTCTCCTGCCCCACTCCTGCCCCTCTCCTGCCCCACCCCTGCCCCACTCCTGCCCCACTCCTGCCCCACTCCTGCCCCACTCCTGCCCCACTCCTTCCCCACTCCTGCCCCACTCCTGCCCCCCTCCTGCCCCTCTCCTGCCCCGCTCCTGCCCCACTCCTGCCCCACTCCTGCCCCACTCCTGCCCCACTCCTACCCCCCTCCAGCCCCACTCCCACCCTCTCCCTCTCTCTGCAGGCCACCTGTGCCCTCCATGAGCTCCTGTGTGCCCCGGAGTCGGGCCCGGCCCTGCAGGGTCTCTTTGCTCCTCTCTTTGTGACGCTGCTGCTGCGCCTGAGCTGCGCCCTGGGGGTGCAGCTGCCCCGGAGCCTGCGGGACAGGGACAGGGACAGGGGCAGGGACAGGGACAGGGACAGGAGCAGCAGCAGCAGCAGCAGCAGCAGCAGCAGCCGGGGCCCTGCGCGCTGCAGCCTCCAACCATGCAGGTACCGGCCTGGGGCAGCTTCGTGGGGATGGGGTAGGTTCAGAGGAGGGGGTGAGGGGTATGGGGGGGAGGAGGGGGCAGAGAATGGGGGGGACAGGCTGGGGGTGACAGCTTCAGCCTGTTGTGGGGGACAGCCTGGGGTGACAGCCTGAGCCTGCTATAGGTGACAGCCTGAGCTGTCCTGTGGGTGACAGCTTCACTCTGCTGTGGGTGACAGCCTGGGGGTGACAGCCTGGGGGTGACAGCTTCACCCTGCTGTGGGTGACAGCCTGAGGGTGACAGCCTGAGCCCTGCTGTTGGTGACAGCCTGTGGGTGACAGCCTGTGGGTGACAGCCTGAGAGTGACAGCTTCACCCTGCTGGGGGTGACAGCCTGAGGGTGACAGCCTGAGCCCTGCTATAGGTGACAGCCTGAGCCTGCTGTGGGTGACAAGTTCACCCCGCTGTGGGTGACAGCCTGGGGGTGACAGCCTGAGCCCTGCTATTGGTGACAGCCTGAGCTGTCCTGTGGGTGACAGCCCATGGGTGACAGCCTGTGGGTGACAGCTTCACTCTGCTGTGGGTGACAGCCTGAGGGTGACAGCCTGAGCCCTGCTATAGGTGACAGCCTGACCCTGCTATAGGTGACAGCCTGACCCTGCTATAGGTGACAGCCTGACCCTGCTATAGGTGACAGCCTGAGCCCTGCTATAGGTGACAGCCTGACCCTGCTATAGGTGACAGCCTGACCCTGCTATAGGTGACAGCCTGACCCTGCTATAGGTGACAGCCTGAGCCCTGCTATAGGTGACAGCCTGAGCCCTGCTATTGGTGACAGCCTGAGGGTGACAGCCTGAGAGTGACAGCTTCACTCTGCTGTGGGTGACAGCCTGAGGGTGACAGCCTGAGCCCTGCTATAGGTGACAGCCTGACCCTGCTATAGGTGACAGCCTGACCCTGCTATAGGTGACAGCCTGACCCTGCTATAGGTGACAGCCTGAGCCCTGCTATAGGTGACAGCCTGACCTGCTATAGGTGACAGCCTGACCCTGCTATAGGTGACAGCCTGACCCTGCTATAGGTGACAGCCTGAGCCTGCTATAGGTGACAGCCTGAGCCTGCTATAGGTGACAGCCTGAGCCCTGCTATAGGTGACAGCCTGACCCTGCTATAGGTGACAGCCTGAGCCCTGCTATAGGTGACAGCCTGACCCTGCTATAGGTGACAGCCTGACCCTGCTATAGGTGACAGCCTGACCCTGCTATAGGTGACAGCCTGAGCCTGCTATAGGTGACAGCCTGAGCCTGCTATAGGTGACAGCCTGAGCCCTGCTATAGGTGACAGCCTGACCCTGCTATGGGTGACAGCCTGACCCTGCTATAGGTGACAGCCTGAGCCCTGCTATAGGTGACAGCCTGAGCTGTGCTATAGGTGACAGCCTGAGCCCTGCTATAGGTGACAGCCTGAGCCCTGCTATAGGTGACAGCCTGACCCTGCTATAGGTGACAGCCTGAGCCCTGCTATAGGTGACAGCCTGACCCTGCTATAGGTGACAGCCTGACCCTGCTATAGGTGACAGCCTGACCCTGCTATAGGTGACAGCCTGACCCTGCTATAGGTGACAGCCTGAGCCTGCTATAGGTGACAGCCTGACCCTGCTATAGGTGACAGCCTGACCCTGCTATAGGTTACAGCCTGACCCTGCTATAGGTGACAGCCTGACCCTGCTATAGGTGACAGCCTGACCCTGCTATAGGTGACAGCCTGAGCCTGCTATAGGTGACAGCCTGACCCTGCTATAGGTGACAGCCTGAGCCCTGCTATAGGTGACAGCCTGAGCCCTGCTATAGGTGACAGCCTGACCCTGCTATGGGTGACAGCCTGACCCTGCTATGGGTGACAGCCTGACCCTGCTATAGGTGACAGCCTGAGCCTGCTATAGGTGACAGCCTGAGCCCTGCTATAGGTGACAGCCTGACCCTGCTATGGGTGACAGCCTGAGCCCTGCTATAGGTGACAGCCTGACCCTGCTATAGGTGACAGCCTGAGCCTGCTATAGGTGACATCCTGAGCCCTGCTATAGGTGACAGCCTGACCCTGCTATAGGTGACAGCCTGACCCTGCTATAGGTGACAGCCTGACCCTGCTATAGGTGACAGCCTGACCCTGCTATAGGTGACAGGCTGAGCCCTGCTATAGGTGACAGCCTGACCCTGCTATAGGTGACAGCCTGACCCTGCTATAGGTGACAGCCTGACCCTGCTATAGGTGACAGCTGACCCTGCTATAGGTGACAGCCTGACCCTGCTATAGGTGACAGCCTGAGCCCTGCTATAGGTGACAGCCTGACCCTGCTATAGGTGACAGCCTGACCCTGCTATAGGTGACAGCCTGACCCTGCTATAGGTGACAGCCTGACCCTGCTATAGGTGACAGCCTGACCCTGCTATAGGTGACAGCCTGACCCTGCTATAGGTGACAGCCTGACCCTGCTATAGGTGACAGCCTGAGCCCTGCTATAGGTGACAGCCTGACCCTGCTATAGGTGACAGCCTGACCCTGCTATAGGTGACAGCCTGACCCTGCTATAGGTGACATCTCTGCTTCCAGTGAGGATGAGGAGGGCAGCAGGATGCAGGCAGCATCTGTGCTGCAGTGTCTCAGTCATAGGGAACCAGGGAATGGTTTGGGTTGAAGGGACCTTAAAGCTCCTCCATCTCCAACCCCTTCCATGGGCATGGACCAATCCCACTGGATGCAGGATGCTCCAATCCCCTGTATCCAACCTCCCCTTGAGCCCTGCCATGGATGGGGCATCCCCATCTCCTCTGATCACCCCATTCTGAACGAGCTTCAAGGTCCCTTCCATCCCACCCCATTCCATGCCCCTGTGCTCATCCCCATTGCTCAGAGCCCCATCAGCTCCCAGCTGTTCCCAGCAGAGCCTCTGTACCAGTCCCACTGGGGGCCCTGCACCAGAGCCCACATTAGGTGAGCACTGGTCCCTTTGTGTCGCATGGGGCTGCACCCATGGTGTGATGGCCTTAGGGAGCGCATCCCCTCCATGAACGCAGCTCTCACCTCCCTATGGGATGCAGGATGCAGGGCCCTGTGTGGCTCCATCACCTTCACCAGCTCCTGATGCCCACAGTGTCCCCATAGCACAGCCCTGCAGCAACCGGTCCCATTGGATCTGCCTTAGACCCCTTAGGGTCTATGGGGTTGGGGTTAACCCTACCCAAAGCTGCTCCTATGGGCTCCTACCAGCAGCACAGCAGCCAAAGGAGGATGCTCCAGTGCTGGGTTTGGCAGCAAGGAGGAGGCTCTGCCCTCGCTTCCATCCCCATCCTCAGGGAGTTCCCAGTCTCGGCTCCTTTCCAGTCTATTCTTAGTGCTGGGAGGGGAAAATGAAGGCTGGAGGAGCCCACAGAGGCAACTGGGAGGGCTCAAGCGGCTTTGACAGCTCATTTATCCCATCCCAGTGCTGAGGAAAGGCCAGTTCCTTACCCACGCAAAGCCACTGGAGCGGCGGCACTGGGAGCGGTGCTGTGGGGTCTGCTTTAGGATCATGGGATGGGGTGGGATGAAGGGAGGTTAAAGCTCCCCCAGCTCCATCCGTTTCCATTGGAGCAGGATGCTCCGAGCCCCTGTGTCCAACCTGGCAGGGATGGAGCATCCCAAACTCCTCCCTTCAGCACCCTCATGGGGAAGAACCCCCCAAGATCCCATCAACTCTTCCCTCTTCCTCCTCATCCCATCCCTGCATCCCTCATCCCATCCCTGCATCCCTCATCCCATCCCTGCATCCCTCATCCCATCCCTGCATCCCTCATCCCTTCCCTGCATCCCTCATCCCATCCCTGCATCCCTCACCCCCTCCCTGCATCCCTCATCCCATCCCTGCATCCCTCATCCCATCCCTGCATCCCTCATCCCATCCCTGCATCCCTCATCCCTGCATCCCTCATCCCATCCCTGCATCCCTCATCCCATCCCTGCATCCTTCATCCCGCATCATCCCATCCCTGCATCCCTCATCCCATCCCTGCATCCCTCATCCCATCCCTGCATCCCTGCATCCCTCATCCCACCCCTGCATCCCTCATCCCATCGCTGCATCCCTCATCCCATCCCTGCATCCTTCATCCCATCCCTGCATCCTTCATCCCAAGCCCCCCTGCAGGCACTGGGGCTGCTGAAGGGAACTGGAAGCAACTGGTTGGTGATGGAGCCAGGAACAGCTGTGCTTCCTCCAGCAGCATCTGGATTGCACACACGCAGCACCAGAAGGCGCTGGGCTCCAGCCATGGAAATGGGACTGGAGGAGCCTCCCTGTTACTGGTGCAGGTTCCTATATGGGGAGCAAACCCATTCCAACTGGGAAGCATCAGGGAGCAACAGGCCCTGTTGTGTAAAAGCCAATGGGCCAAGCTGGAGGATCAGGGGAACCGGCGCATCCCAGAAGTGGGGTCCCCCCTATCCCACATCCCAAATGATGGAGACCCCCCCCCCCCCCCAATCCCTCTCTGGATGCTCCCTCCTGCTGATGGGCTTCATGCTGGGCTTCATGGCTGGTGATGCTCTGTGATGCTCCATTGGGGTCACAACAGTGGGTACCACACAGCACCAGCATCCTCAAAGGGGGGGAGCAGAGCTCCTCCATCACCGCTCCCAATGTGCTGGGCTTCAAATCCCTGCTTGATCTTCAGGGGTGTGGAAACCCCTGGAGAGGGATTGGGATGAGGGATGCAGGGATGGGATGAGGGATGCAGGGATGGGATGAGGGATGCAGGGATGGGATGAGGGATGCAGCGATGGGATGAGGGATGGGATGGGAGATAGGGATGGGATGAGGGATGCAGGGATGGGATGCGGGATGCAGGGATGGGATGCAGGGATGGGATGCAGGGATGGGATGAGGGATGCAGGGATGGGATGCGGGATGCAGGGATGGGATGAGGGATGCAGGGATGGGATGAGGGATGCAGGGATGGGATGAGGGATGAGGGATGGGGAATGGAGGGAGGTGCAGGGATGGGATGAGGGATGCAGCGGATGGGATGAGGGATGCAGGGATGGGTTGAGGGATGCAGGGATGGGATGAGGGATGCAGGGATGGGATGAGGGATGCAGGGATGGGATGAGGGATGCAGGGATGGGATGAGGGATGCAGGGATGGGATGAGGGATGCAGGGATGGGATGAGGGATGCAGGGATGGGATGAGGGATGCAGGGATGGGATGAGGGATGCAGGGATGGGATGAGGGATGCAGGAATGGGATGAGGGATGCAGGAATGGGATGAGAGATGCAGGAATGGGATGAGGAGGAAGAGGGAAGAGTTGATGGGATCTTGGGGGGTTCTTCCCTATGAGGGTGCTGAAGGGGATGAAGGGAGGAGTTTGGGATGCTCCATCCCTGGCAGGTTGGACACAGGGGCTCGGAGCATCCTGCTCCAATGGGAACGGATGGAGCTGGGGGAGCTTTAAGCTCCCTCCCAGCACAAACCAGTCTGTGCTGTGTGAATGATGGAGGGGCAGGGATCAACGCATGGCTCTGTATGGACGCAGACCGGTACCCACGGCTCCGTATCCATGAAGTCACCGATGGATGGATGGAGGGGGTGGGATGGATCAGGCTCTATCCAACGCTGTGGGATGTGCAATTCCAGTGCGGTCCCTGGAACTGGTCCCAGTATCAAAGCCATTTCCTGCCCGTCTGTTGCATTCGGAGGCTTCGGCATCCCGAGATGCTGGAGCGAGCTGGTGATGCTCAATAGGATCCCTTGGCTGCAAAGGGAGCTTGGAAGAGCCAGGCTCTGCTTGGAGGGGAAGGAAGTGTCTATGGGACACAGTGGAAAAAGCAGGGCTTGGAATGGAGCAGCGCTGGGGTTTAACCCCATGCACTCATTGCTTATGGGGGAATAGGAGAGGATGGGATGGGAATGGCAATGGGATGATTGGGAAAGGCTGGAGCGGAGCTCATGGCCATAATGCAGAGCCTGGGTTGTCCATGAGCATCCTGCACAAGGGGGTTTATGGCTCCTTGTGCTATAAGGAGAATCCCACTGGAGCATCCCCATTGCTCCCGGATGCTGTGGGGCTGATGGAGTCATAGAAGCACAGCACCAGGGGTTAGGAATGGGATGAGTGGTTGCATTCAGGGCTGTGGGTGATGGCTCCGTGTCCCATAGGAGAGCAATGAGTGATGCTCCTCAGGGATCAGGGTTCCAATGGCGCTGTTCAATGTCCCTATGGGGTCCATGGGGATTGAGCCCCCTCAGTGAGGCCGTGCTGGTGGTGCAGGGACACTGAGGGAAGGGCTGGGATCAGAGGGAACCTCTTGGGGTTCAACCAGGCCCTGGTCCTGGTTTGGGGTAACCCCAGGCTGGGGGAGAGGGGCTGGAGGCTGAGGAGCAGCACTTGGGGTGCTGGGGGGGGGGAGATGCTCAACACAACCCCATCCCTTGCAGTGCTCAAGGGCAGGGTGGATGGAGCTTGGAGCATCCTGAAGGGGCTGCAGGGGGGCTTGGGATGAGGGATGCAGGGATGGGATGAGGGATGCAGGGATGGGATGAGGGATGCAGGGATGAGGGATGCAGGGATGGGATGAGGGATGCAGGGATGGGATGAGGGATGCAGGGATGGGATGAAGGATGCAGGGATGGGATGAGGGGTGCAGGGATGGGATGAAGGATGCAGGGAGGGGATGAGGGATGCAGGGATGGGATGAGGGATGCAGGGATGGGATGAGGGATGCAGGGATGGGATGAGGGATGCAGGGATGGGATGAGGGATGCAGGGATGGGATGAGGGATGCAGGGGTGGGATGAGGGATGCAGGGATGGGATGAGGGATGCAGGGATGGGATGAGGGATGCAGGGATGGGATGAGGGATGCAGGGATGGGATGAGGAGGAAGAGGGAAGAGTTGATGGGATCTTGGGGGGTTCTTCCCCATGAAGGGGATGAAGGGAGCAGTTTGGGATGCTCCATCCCTGGTAGCTTGGACACAAGGGCTCGGAGCATCCTCCTCCAATGGAACCGATCCCTACCCATACAGGGGTCAGAGCTCCAAGCCCCCATCCCACCCAAACCAGTCTATCCGATGCTGAGCCCCTTTTCCTAAGTGATGTTTCCTTTGTGTGTGTGCCTGTGCCTTCCCCTCCTCTTCCATGGGCGGCTGGGCTCGGTCCATGGCTCCCATTTGGGGTTCAGTGACAGGATAACGGATGGTTCCCATATGCTGCTCTGCGCCTGCAGCAAAGCAATCCCTGCCTAGAAGAGCTTAAGGCCAAAACCCCCTTTGTTAGCATCGCTCTGGGCCCCGTTCCCTGCAGCCCCGTGGTGCTGGATGGGGTCCAGCGCTCACGTCATGGGGTGGGTGATGTAGTGCTGAGCTTTGGGGTTAAGCTCGCCCATAACTCATCCCAGCATCAAGAGCTGCTCCTGCTGCTGCTCTATGGCTGCCAGATGGGATGCAGGCAGGGCAGGAGCCTCCTAAACCTGACCCAGTCTAACCTGACCTGACCCAGTTTAACCCAGTCTAACCAAACCTAACCCTATATGGCTGCCAGATGGGCTGCAGGCAGGGCAGGAGCCTCCTAAACCTGACCCAGTCTAACCTGACCTGACCCAGTTTAACCCATCCTAACCCAGTTTAACCCAATCTAACCAAACCTAACCCTATATGGCTGCCAGATGGGCTGCAGGCAGGGCAATCTAACCTAATTGATCCTAACCTGACCTAACCCATCCTAATCTAACCTAACTGATCCTAACCTGACCTAACCCATCCTAACCCAACCTAATTGATCCTAACCCATCCTAATCTAACCTAATTGATCCTAACCTGACCTAACCCATCCTAACCCAACCTAATTGATCCTAACCCATCCTAATCTAACCTAATTGATCCTAACCTGACCTAACCCATCCTAACCCAACCTAATTGATCCTAACCCATCCTAACCCAACCTAATCGATCCTAACCCATCCTAACCCAACCTAACTGATCCTAACCTACCCCAGTTCCACCCAGTAACACCAGTGCTTCCCTCCGCAGCAGCGCGGTGCAGACCCTCAAGGTGATGCTGCTCCGGGGGGGCAGCGAGGACGTGGTCACGGCCATGGACAACGCCGGTGCTTGGGACCTGATGGCGACCCCGGAGAGGCACCACGATGGGATCACGGTGCTGGCCCGGTGGGTGCTGCCCTAGAGCACTGCTGCTCCTGCATCACCTCCAGCACCAGTGCAGGACCTGCACTGGGAGCACTGGGGATGGGAGCACCGTGAGCTGCGATGCACCAGGGTCTGCAGCATCACTGAGGGCTTGGTGCGGGGTGGGGTGGGATGAAGGGAGCTTAAAGCTCCCCCAGCTCCATCCGTTTCCATTGGAGCAGGATGCTCCGAGCCCCTGTGTCCAACCTGGCAGGGATGGAGCATCCCAAACTCCTCCATTCAGCACCCTCATGGGGAAGAACCCCCCAAGATCCCATCAACTCTTCCCTCTTCCTCCTCATCCCATCCCTGCATCCCTCATCCCAAGGCTCCCTGCAGCCCCTTCAGGATGCTCCAAGCCCCTGTGTCCAACCTGCCAGGGATGGAGCATCCCAAACTCCTCCCTTCAACCCCTTCAGCACCCTCATAGGGAAGAACCCCCCAAGATCCCATCAACTCTTCCCTCTTCCTCCTCATCCCATCCCTGCATCCCTCATCCCATCGCTGCATCCCTCATCCCATCCCTGCATCCCTCATCCCATCCCTGCATCCCTCATCCCATCCCTGCATCCCTCATCCCACCCTGCATCCCTCATCCATCCCTGCATCCCTCATCCCATCCTCATCCCTCATCCCATCCCTGCATCCCTCATCCATCCTCATCCCTCATCCCAACCCTGCATCCCTCATCCCATCCCTGCATCCCTCATCCCATCCCTGCATCCCTGCATCCCTCATCCCATCCCTGCATCCCTCATCCCAAGCCCCTGTGTCCAACCTGGCAGGGATGGAGCATCCCAAACTCCTCCCTTCACCCCCTTCAGCACCCTCATGGGGAAGAACCCCCCAAGATCCCATCAACTCTTCCCTCTTCCTCCTCATCCCATCCCTGCATCCCTCATCCCATCCCTGCATCCCTCATCCCATCCCTGCATCCCTCATCCCATCCCTGCATCCCTCATCCCATCCCTGCATCCCTCATCCCAAGCCCCCCTGCAGGCACTGGAGCTGCTCTATGGTCCCCCCTTCAGGAGCCTGGCTCCAGGGCATGCCCTTGGAGCATCCTCTGAACCCACTCCATCAGCTCCATGCTCTCCCTTTCATCCAGACCTTTTGCTTCCCCATCCCATTGGAGCCCAGGCTCCCTGTTCCCTTTTAACCAAGGGATGACCCCAAAAGCCCTTGGCTGGAATCCCCTTTTCCCTTCCCCTGCTGCTGCAGTGTCTTTGCAGTCCATCAGGGATCGCAGCGGCTCCACTGCACCAGTGGGTGCTGTGGGTGCTGTGGGTGCTGGCCTCTGCCTCTCCTCCCATGGCATTGGGATGCCGAGTGATGGCCACAGCCCATGTTTGGGTATGGTGGAACCTGGTTCAGCCAAGGACCTCTCCATCCCTCCACCCAGTGCCATTCATAGCCCATGGAGGAGATGAGCAGCTTGGGGTGTTCCAGTATTCCCAGCAAAGGCTTTATGGGGCCTCCCAAACACTTGAGAGCCTCATCCACAACAGGAACCATCCCTCCTGGCCAAGGGCTGCTGGTGCT